ACTGGGCAGCAGCGAGCCGTCGAGCTGCAGCGCTACAGACTTCCTGCTGCAGCTGCTGCTGTCACAGCAGGCGAGAGAGCGGCGTTGAGCCGTGCAGGAGCGCGTACGTCTTCTGTCTCTGGGATACATCGTTCTTTACTGTTGGAAGGATAAACAGCCAATTCTCAGAGGATGATGCAGATGAATACTTCAGCTAGTTATTCAGTGTGGTTGTGGTTGAGTTTACGTGAGATTTTAAGGTTGAACGTCTGATTTCTTACGGACGTCGGAGCAGAAACAGCCGAGCTGGAATCACAAGCACGACTGTAAAATCTGGCGCTTTTAGCCAGAGTGAGTTGATGCTTTTTTTATCCACATTTAAAGCTGAAGGTTTGTGTTTTCATTACAGGATGTGACCAATGTTGGTTTCAAACAGTTGCATTGCCTCAGTCAGGTTGTCGACTGTGAGCAGTCTGTTTAACACTCATGTTTGCTGCACGTTATTTTGTCACTCTAATCTGTTCTGTGTGGTAATGTTGTAAGTTTTAAAAGGTTTTATAGGAGTTTGTAAATATTTTAGGTTTCCACTTTTTTAAAGAGAATTTGGTTGTGTTGTAAAAGACGTCCAGAAGAGTTATTAAAAAACACATTTTATTTACATGAAACAGCATTAAAATAATTACACACAATCACAGATTTCTGTCTTTCAGAAAGTCCAAACAAACAAGTAAAAGTTAACATTTTAAGACAAGCTGCCATGATTCGGGCTCAACAAGTGTGAGCGCCCATTTACTTCATTTCAACAGGTTCATCGAGCCATTTAAATTAGCTCGCAGAGGCCTCACCTCATTTTTAATAAATTAACCCAAAATGTGAGACTTACCAACTTTGAGTCTAATGAACTAGAATTAAGATATTTGTTCACTCATCTGTGTTCACTTTGACCTTGTAACCATTCAGCTCAACAGTTCTGTGGACTGGACATTAAGAATAAGAAGGCGGCAATTTACTTACAAACAAAAAATAAAATCCCCCATTTACAACCATCATCCTTCATTGTCTATCCAATAAAAATCTATAATAGGACTCTTAAAGGGCTACTATACTTCTACAGCTCTAAAGTACAAAAGTAAAGTGGAGTTTCCCTTCGTTACAGTGAGCAGTCTTTTGAACAATATACACATAAATGCAGACATGTTTGAGAAAGCACATTTTAAAAAGTCCAGCTTTGTGCAGTGAGCGTAACGCGTGTCCTGCCTGTTGGTACGAGAACGCAACCGTACATAAGCATAAACACATTGTTGCTTTTCAGCTGCTACACATGGGCTTCAATAAGAGCAGACCAACTAGTCGGTGATGGTAAAGGGAACTTAGCGGTAAAAGTCCGTTAATTTTAAAGCACTGGATGCAGATTCTGGCTCACCGCATTCAATTCTGTTATTAAACTAAAGTTAGCCTTCATGCTATTTGACGCTAGAGAGCAGGGTAGTAAATCTGACTAAATACAAAACATATTCAAATGGAAAAGAGTGCAAATGAATGTCAAACTCTTAGCATTTCTGTGTCCTTCAGTTCCATTTACAAAGGAAGAAACTGCGTACTACTTACAGTGAAGCTGAAGCCTTAAACACCGACAGACACACAGCATCCAGACAGCAGACTGACATCAACATACAGCACAGGTATGAACATTTACAAACAAACACACGTTCGTACCACAGCTCATCACAGTTTCAACAATAATCATTAATACTCACAATAACCTGATATTGAACCCTCCCAGAAATCCCTCCCTTTTCATCATCCTCCTCTTCTTATCACACTATAAAGTGACTCCTGACCTTCACAGCAGTATCGGTTAAAACCCAGAGTTAGTCGTCTTTTAAATCTGTGTGCTGGACCAGTGTACAGGGCCTTGTATAATAACCAGCTATCATCTGTCTGTAGTGAAATAAAATGGGAGCATGAAACCCAAGGAAGACTATAGCTGTGGGGTAAGAAAGCAGTGATGTTGCCCTTCAGCAGTATTTCATTTAATCACTAACAACACAATTATAAGCACATAACTAAAACCTCATTAGTGCCCGACTCCAGTGTTTAAAAAGGAAATGTTTACATGTCGTATTGACCAGACTGAGATCATGTCATGATGCTCGAGCTAATGCTCAGGTTGTCAAAAAAAGTGATGATCGCCTCGTTTCTAAATCAATACATCTTTGAGCTCAGTTTGCAAATAAATTACACCAAAGAGGACGACACCCAGGACTTAACCAGCCAGCGTCAAGGCCTCATCAACATATTAGAATTATTACAAAATTAAAGAATTTAAGACTTTGATTAAGTGCAATCTCAGAAATCTGAGATTTTAACATCATTCAGTAGCAAGACATTTTACTCATTTTACTACAACGTAATAAGGAAATTCACCGATCAGCCATAACATTAGGACCACCTGGGCACCCCGACAGGTCTGCAGCTACACAGCCCTAACACACTGTGTTCTGACACCTTTCTATCAGAACCAGCGTGAACTGTTTCAGCAGTTTGAGCTACAGTAGTTCATCTGTTGGATCGGACCACACGGGCCAGCCTTCACTTCCCATGTGCATCAGTGACCTTGTCTCCGGTTCACCACTTTTCCTTCCTTGGTCCACTTTTGATAGGTACTGACCACTGCAGACCGGGAACACCCCACAAGAGCTGCAAGTGTGGAGATGCTCTGA